GCGCCCAAACTGGGGCTTGGGTCATGCTTGGAACCCCAACATGGGTTCATCAAAATCCTGTTATCCATCAACAAGAAGACGCGAACCAACTGCTGGAAGTTTCCTGAACTCCCAACTCACACAATCCTCAATCTAGACGGCCACCCGAGTCGTCTTTCCTCCCAACGGGAATGTGAAACTCATCCTAGTTCCATGACCGATCTCGCTCCCGGAAAACTGAACGGTTCTCCCCCACTTCGATTTGACGAAGTTCTTCTAGCCCACAAAGTCTGATGGATTCCCCATTCATCTTTGCTCCTTATGGTCGAACCGCCGACACCCTGCGCTTACCAAAACTGGTGCTCCTTCACTAGCCCATCCCAATGTCCGCACAACTCTTGAAATCCATATAAACACTCCCCTAAATCTCAGCAATAGATCCATTCCCTGGCATTCTCGGTGTCCAATCATGCTCATATGCTAAAACCATTGAACCCCGACTATACTAGAGAACTAACCCGTTGAACCTGGCCATAGACCTTCCAAACAATACCCCTGAGCTGAACCCAACAAAGAACCGGAAAAACAACCGAACACACTGGAACCCGCTCAACAAGATGCAACCCCTTACTGACCCACTAATGATTCATGGCATGCAAAAATGGCATATAACAATTTTTTGATGATACTAACCATGAAAGTAACAGAGAATTAGACCAAATATAAAGCTTACCCAAAATGATACAAAATTCCAAGCAACATAAATAATGATAACAACCAAAGAGAAAGCAAAAGATAACATACCCGCAATATCATCTGTTGGAGTCCTGGCCTCCCCCGTCTGACACTACAATGCCCGACTCCTCTCTGTTGGGGCTCCTGCTCTACCCTCACGACCATCAGTGATCCTCAAAGTAACCGAAGTAGATTCACCCACTGATCCTCTCCTCATCATCGGGCAGTTGGCCTTCTTGTGGCCCACTTGGTTGCATTGAAAACATAACGGGCTTGCCCCTTGAGGACAATCCCTACTGACATGACCAACCCCGCCACACCTGTAGCAGCCCATACCCCTAGACCGACAAATTTCATCGTGCAGTTTCCCGCACGTGCTGCACTGACCCCGACCCTGCTGGCCCCTTAGTCGCTGATCAAAAGTCTTGGGTCTCTTCCCGGGAACCTGAACTGACTGCACCTGATCTGGCCCCCTCTTCCCCAGGTGCTCCAGGTGGATCTCCCATTCTCGAGCTCTAGAAATCATATCATCCAGGGTCTTGCACCCCAAAATACTCACAAACTCCCTAATGTCATCCCTCAGCATATCATGATTCCTTACCTTCTTCATTTCCTCGTCTACTGCATACTGCGGAACCAATAAAGCTCTTTCCCGGAACTTGGCAGTGATCTTTTCCACAGTCTTAGTAGTCTGGCGGAGATCCTAAAACTCTCGCGCCAACTGGTGCACCTCAATCACCGATGCAAACTCGGCTCGGAACCTAGTCGAAAAATCATCCCACGTCATCGCATCAACAACATCATCACCCACTTCATGTCCTAGCTCCCCCACCAGTATCGTGTCATGTCCTTTAAAAGGCAGGAAGCAAATCTGACCTTCGAGTCCTCGGGGCGGAAACTCGTCCTGAACGCGTTGGCCATATCCGCTAACCACCTCCTACTTGCAATGGGGTCCTTCTCCCCATGGAACGCGGGATCTCCACATGCACGGAACTCATAGAAAAATAAAATGCGAGCTCCAACGATAGCCATAACCTCGGCACGAAACGCGCCCAAGCGCTCATCCAAAATATCCAGAATCCCCTCCTTGACCGTACCAAAGATCCAGTATGCTCCAAAATACCGCGGGTAATCTCCGACGAGATTAACTCCCGCATCTGCTCGCTGATCGACTCAGTGTCTGCACCTGATCCGGAACCAGAATCTGATCCTCCTCCCTGAGTGCTCATCACCAAACTGAAATACAATCATGCAAATAATCAGAACATACTCAAGGATCCTCATTCCACAAGCTTCCTAGATTCTCCAAGACTCTCCCCAATTTGAGTATGGATCCTGTGCTTTTAGTAGTACAGGATCAATACTACCTTCCACACCTATCCATACTTTCCTCAGGAATCATTATGAATCCTCTAAGTCACCTTCTTAAACTGATGCAACCAATGATCACTAAGCAGCACAACTAATCCCACTGAAGCATTTCCTAGGCTCTCCTAGGTTCCCGACCTCACCCTACCCTCAGCTGCTGAACGGCCCCCACCAATGTCCACTAATGCTGAACGGCCCCCACCAATGTCCATTTCCTAGGCTCTCCTAGGTTCCCGACCTCACCCTACCTCATGAATATAGTCACATGCAACAGAGATCAGATAATCCTTCGAGTAAAAGACTCAACCCTAGAACAATTGGACTCAGACAAGAGCTACGTAATAGGGTCAGATCCATCACTCTGTGATTATTTAACATGTTCCACATGTTACTTAGCATATTCACTTAGTAGTTGATCCACATCGCTAAGAGTCCCACAAAGCACAAAGCAAGCAGCATCCAGGCAACGGAAAATCTAACCAGTATACACTAATCAAGCCATTTTATCCACGTATCTGAAAACCATACTAGCATGCAATTCTAAAAGCTCATGTTTCTACAAGGATCCCCACCACCAATCCAAGTATCCCTCCAGCAGCATGCTGCAAAATCAACAAAAGTATCATCTATTTAACTCCAATTAGGTGTCTGAATACACTTAAAAGTTGCTGAACGAATTAAGTTATTTACCATTACAGACTATGCCCAAACAATGCATACACACATAAGGGTAAAAAAATACATACACATACACAACAATATACACACATAGAAACAAATATACAAACATACACACAAATTACTCATTTAGTTATTCCATTTGGGCCACACAATTGTATAAAAAAATCACAGCACAACAACAGTCAACAAGAACGACCATAACAAATAGCAACAACAAAATCTCAACAAAAAAATTTTAATATTCACAACAGTAAATTGATTATTTCATAGCAAAAAATTGAATCCTGCTCTGCGGAGGCATGTGTAGGGAAAAACGGTAACATGGTTTTTTGTTCAAACCTTGGAGCAAATCCTGCTTTGTGAAAGAGGGGACCGAATCCTTCACTTTTGATGGATCAAGTCCATACCTTGGACCGAGTCCAAGAGTTTAAACATAATATCAAACATGTTAAATTGCATTTTTTGGACACGATTATAAACTAAATCATAAGACCCCTAAATGACATTGGAACCTAATAATCGTTCTTAGAATTGAATGTAAACTTTATGCTCTTGACAAACCAATTCCCAACCAGACAAACTAGTTCCCGATGAGTGTGACTTAGGAGAATCAAGGGATGTGAGATGTTCCTACGAGATCACCTCAATGATGCCAATTATGTAAGATGTATGATGTTAAACACTATACTTCTAGAACTTTAAAACAATATAGAGACATTATAGGCATATGCCTGATGTTTAAGAAAATGTTCAAGAAGTAGGCATGTTAACATATTTTTAAAACCATTGGTGTGTTTATCCTCCTAAATAACAATATAGCTACCGTCATCAAACTAGAGTTCCTTCTTCGACTTCTTCTACTGGCAAGTCTCCTTCTGCTTCATCCTCGGATGGCCCCTCTCCTCGGTCGGCCTCTTCTCCAGACATCAAACCAGAGCTCCTTCCTCGACTGCTTCTACTGCCTCGTCTCCTTCTGCTTCATCCTCGGATGGTCCCTCTCCTCGGTTGGCCTCTTCTTCTACGGATATCTTTTCCGTGTCAGGCTCTTCTGATGTTGTTGCTTCCTCCCTTAGACAACATCTTCTCCGTCTGGCAGCCTCTCATCTTCAGTTCTCTCCCCCCCCCCCCCCCCCCCCCTTCTATCAACACTACAATCATCGATCTCGTTGGAATTGGGTTCATCCGTTGTATCTCGAGCCATCTTTCTCTCTCGCTACCTTTCTCTAGACTCCTCTGTCATCAACTCCATGATTTTTGCCACCTCCATCGATTATCTTTTCTTCTACAACGGAACCGTTTCTTCTTCTCCAACGAGCAGTCACTGTTTGTGTCATCGCGAGCTCTGCAACCGTCCTTGCCGCTGTCTTCATCTATGTTTTTTTTATGTTTTGTTTTTTGTTTATTTTTCTAGTTTAGTCATCTCTTCTCGATCAAACTGCAGGAGGATGTTAGTGATTAGGGTTAAACTAATTCTCATTAGGGTTTAGATTAAGCCAAGAGCCCGTTTTATATTTTTATTTGTATGAATATCAAAACATTCTATATATAACAATAAATAGTTGTGTTATTTATTCTTCCAAAACTTTGACATATTCCACATTTAAATTTGTTGTATCTTTGCAATTATTTGTTGGATGTGGTGTTTTACACTTGACAATAAAGTTATATTGATTATATTACATATATATACCTGCTGGAAAGCATGAGATTTTTCGTGACTAAAATGAAATTATAAAGTAAAAAAAAAAAAGTCAAACTCAATGTGTTCACGATCAATCTCCTATCAACCATGATTATACACGTTTCATAATAATGTTCATAAAAACTAGCCTCTAGAGAAAGACCTAACATATTCTTTGTGTAATCATTTGATCGATCATGTTAACAAACCAAGTTAACCTGCATACATGATACATCTACACCGAATATTATCTCCCAGAAGAAGTTGACGTGGTAGAAGGTATAGAAAAAATAAAACAAAAGCCTAAAGTCAAAACTTTAAACATTAGATCCGACAAAACAATGATAAAACTAATGTTTTTCGAGTGTAAACGTATCAATTCATTCGATAACAACTTCTCTTTTCTAATAATAATTTATAACTAACACATTTCCAAAAATAAAATACTACAGTTAATTACCTATATATATGTTTATAAAACAGAAACGTTACAAACCAATTTAATACACATTAAAGAAAAATATAATATCCATAACTACTATTAAAATAAAGGTGCAAATTTTTGCCATTCTCCCAAATTTCTGGTAACTTCCCATCTATCTATCTCTATTTAATTAGCATACTGGCCATTCACATGCATATCCATAACACCACACAACAAACAGTCGATGATATCCACGACTACATATACACACAAAACCAGTTCTGAGCAACCCCCAGGATTTGTACAATAAAGGAAGCATCATTTGTTTTATTGTTATCGAAAGTTGGGTCCATCTTATTCAAGATGGATTCATCATTCAGTGTATTCTTCTCTGTTGTTATAATCTTCTTGTTCTTCAATGGCACAACAATGGTGGAATCGTTGAACCTGTCATTGCCTTCTTTAGAAGATGGTTCGTCAAGGAGGGAGCTTGCTGGGATCCAAACTAGCTTCAAACTTCCTTCCCCGTTGCCTAATTGGCCTCCAGGTTTGTTTGTATATATATTTCTTTTCATTTTCTTCCTTAAGACATTGAAACCACATTGACATTGACTTGTATATATATTCACAAGGATATTTGATGTGTAGTTTTCAAATTTGGTTTTAGGTGGAGGGTTTGGTGGCGGAACCATGGATTTAGGAGGATTACAAGTTAGTCAAGTATCAACATTCGACAAGATATGGGCAGCCAATGAGGGAGGACCCGGAAATGTCGGTGCAACCTTTTATAACCCGGTTTCCATCCCCCAAGGGTTTTTTATTTTAGGGTTTTATAGCCAACCAAACAACATGCCTTTATTTGGGCATGTTCTTGTAGGTAAAGATGTCACAAATGACTCTTCAAACCCTACTCTCAAACTACCAATTGATTACACTCTTGTTTGGAGTAGTGTCTCTCTCAATATCAAGAAAGATGGGGATGGCTACATCTGGTTTCCAAACCCACCCGATGGCTATAGGGCCATTGGGTACGTCGTTACTAGCACATCAGATAAACCTCCTCTTGAAAGAGTCTGTTGTGTTAGGTCTGACTTAACGGACTCTTTGGAGAGCGACACATGGATATGGGGACCAAATAAGAGTTTAAATGCGAATGGGTTCAATGTATATAGTAGTAGGCCAATAAATAGAGGTGTTGAAGCCATGGGTGCACCGATGGGAGGTTTTGTGGTTGAAAATGGGATCGGGAGCAACACATTGTCAATATCTTGTTTGAAGAATTTGAAGGGTAGTTTGGTAAATTCGATGCCAAATTTGAACCAAATTGAAACCTTAATTCAAACATATTCTCCGGTTGTTTACTTTCATCCTAACGAACTCTACCTTCCTTCTTCCGTTGATTGGTTCTTTCAAAATGGGGCTTTGGTCTACCACAAAGGAGATGAGTCCAACCCTACCCTTATTGCCCAAAATGGTTCGAATCTCCCACAAGGTGGTTCAAATGATGACCCATATTGGCTTGACCTCCCAAAAGATGGTTCAAGTAAAGAAAGGGTTAAGAAAGGCGACTTACAAGATTCAAATGCTTATTTCCACATCAAACCCATGTATGGAGGGTTATTTACGGATATTGCCATTTGGCTCTTTTATCCTTTTAATGGGGCATCAAGAGCCAAAGTTGGGTTAATCAACATTTCATTGGGAAAAATAGGGGAACATGTGGGTGATTGGGAGCACGTTACATTAAGGGTCAGCAATTTCAACGGTGAATTAAACAGCGTTTTTTTTGCACAACATAGTTGGGGGATATGGATGAGTGCTTCGATTCTTGAGTACGCTAGTGGTAATAAACCAATAGTGTACTCCTCATTAAATGGTCACGCCTCCTACCCTAAACCAGGATTAGTGTTGATTGGCCCCCAAGGGGTCGATGTTGGAATAAGAGACGATACTGCAAAAAGTGATAAGGTGATGGATACGGGCGTTAGGGCGATGGTGGTTGCGGCGGAGTACTTAGGGTCGATAGTGGTTGAGCCACCATGGTTAAACTATTTGAGAAAATGGGGTCCAAAAATTGATTATGACCTTGACAAAGAAATTAATAAATTGGAGAAGGTTATGATAGGGAAGTTGAAATCTGCTTTTGACAAGTTAATCAAGAGTATTCCGAGAGAGGTGTTGGGTGAGGATGGGCCCACGGGACCCAAAGTGAAAAACAGTTGGAGTAGAGATGAAATGTGATGAATTCTTGTTTTATATTAAATTTTGTTACAAATTTCTGATTGGTTTATAAAATGATAAAAAAAAAATGTATCATATATATATGAAAAGCCGAGGGTTGTTTGTGAAAAATAAGATTGTATATAAAGTTATAAACGGCATATTCCTTCGTTTTTGTTTTATACGATTGTACTATTTGACAAATTTTGTCATTTGGTATCTAACGCCGATGATGTCAAAGGTAGTAATATCATTTAGATAAATTGGTAATAAGTAAAACTGTAAAATACAATTAAAAAATCTTAATAGTAATATATTTATGACGAATTAAAATGGACATTTCAGTTTATATAAAATAATATAAATATAAATATTGAGCATCTTGACAAACGTTGTTTCAAGTTTTCATAGCACGAATCAACCAATATTCAATTTGGTCATTTAAAACTTGTAAAGTTTTATTTGTCATGTAGTTTAAATCAATTTATATAATATTGGCTTTTGACAAGAAACTAATTTAACTTAGCAACTTAAAAAGTTAGAATTTACATTTACGGATGAGAATTTAGTCCGAAAACCCAAACCGAACCGAATTAGGCCCCAATAAACAATTTAATTCGGGTTTTGGGTATCTATGTTATGTTTATTCGGTTCTCAGGTTATTCGGTTCGGGTTATCCAAATAAGAGCTTATTCGGTTCTAAATACCCGACCCGAATAAGCATTCTTCGTCCCCTTTTTCTTAACGTCAGAAATCAAAATCAAGATTCATACTTTTGTCCTCGTCGTTCATAACAGGAAAAAAAAACTTTACGCTCGTTCTCGTCGTTTCAAAATCGACAAATCTTCTCAACTATTTCCAAACTCGAAATCACTTTTGTCGATTCTTCCTCTTGTTTCAGACTTTCAAAAATTGACCATTCATATTGTCTTTAAGTATTTACGAATTCCTACTTTGTCTAATCATAAAAAATTAGGCTTCAACTCAAGAAACTCAAGTAAGAAGTTAATTCTCATTATGTTAATCTACTATGTAAATGTTATTCTTTCAATAGGTTATTGTGTTATGTTAGTCTTTGAATGTTTTATGTTGATGTATAAAAGTACATTGATATTCTATTATCCGGGTTATAGAATCCTAATATGGTTTATTCGTTTTTTTCAGTTATATTATGTCCTTAATCATTTTGTATATGTTATTCAGGTTATTCGGGTAATAACCGAACCGAACCCGTATTGGTTAATCGGTTCGGTTTTCAATTCATGCAATTATCCTTATTCGGTTTCCGGGTTATTCGGGTTTGGGTCAGTTCGGTCCGATTATGACCCGAATAACAACCCTATAATACATTAATCTGATAAATATAATAATTTCTATATTCTAAAATCGAATTTATATGAAGAAAGATATTGGTGTTAGGATAAGAAGCATATTTCAAATGGTTTCCAATACGTTACGTTTCTACATATTATGCACACTCATATTTTATCTTTTTGACTTCCATCTAATTTTGAATATCTTCAAGTATAAATTATTTGGAATCATCATTCTAAATATTAGATTGTTGTTTCTTTTCAGGTTTCTTTTATCTTGCTACATGACAACCAATTCTATTATGTTGTTTCTTGCAAGATTTATCTTCCGGCAAAAAAACTCTCTAAATTTCATAACGAAATTATTATTTTAAATTGTGGCGTGCAAATATATGTTTGGGTTAAAAAAGAAATGTGCATATTAATATACGATATAAATACTAATAAAAAAACATACAAGAATTTATGTTTCACACGATTGGGATAGTCATGCTACATACATACACAAACTAAATATGTTTCTATTAAGTTTTACATTTTACAGTTGTTGTGGGATATATACGTACAAAAGAGATATATATGACCTAATATCAAATACAAAACATCCCAAGTCCCTTCCAGAATGTTCGAGATCCCTATGGAGTTTTCTGATAAATTAATATCTGAAACACCCTAGACTGCTGATCTTATGGAGTAGTCTGACCCTGGGAAAGTGACCCTGGGAAAGAGACTGTAATCGCTTGAAGGTGAACAAATAGCTGACTCTTGCAAGTTTGTGGCCAGCGATCACCCTCTAAGCTGCTTGATAACGAACTAAAGGGCTCGAATGCCACCACCTGCTGCCATGCCATTCCTTGAAGAACCATCTGTGTTCAACTTCAAAATACCAAAAGGAGGAGGAGCCCATTTGATCCATTTTCCTTTAGGCTGGAGCGGGGCTTTAGGAAGAAGGGGGTCGGAGATGGACTTGGATGATGGAAAAAGCGGTCTTCCTCGCTGGGAAGGCATACCTCTTTTTAGGCATAATATGAACTTGTGTAGCATTTCATAAGTTACTCTCCTCTAACTTATTAGCTTATAAGCCAATAAGCTATAAGTTAATAAGCAATAAGTTTTTTTTGTCAAACCACCCTCTAATTCCAAAAATTTCTTCATGTGGCAATGTCCCTTTGACCGTGTCGAGCGTATAAGAGATAAAGATAAGAATATTCATTCAAGATAATTAGTTCCTGTATTTTAGGATATTATACTTCTGTTCCACTTTTGTAGCATATGTTATGAATTATATATACCCATGTATCAATAGACGATATTTATCTTCCTTCTCAATATTCTGGTATCCTCTTCATGGTATTAGAGCAGGCTTCATCCTAGCCATAATTCATTTTTTTTCTTCTTGCTTCCTCAAGCACGTCTTCAATGGCTTCAGTCACCATTCCAAATGCGGATGATCCCACTACTCCACTGGTAGTTGTTAATCTCACCAACATCCTAAAACTAACAACTACCAACTATTTGTAACACCTTAAATCTTAACCCAAAATTTTCATTTTTAAATTACTAAAATTAAGATTTCACAACCAAGTTATCAAATACATACTATCCCAAAACAACCAGTATCACAAATATCAGAGTTCATAAAATTGTTCCAGTAGTAAATCTCCCAGCAAGTGTGTACAATCAGACCTTCGCCTTCTCGCGGTCCTTGGAAGTACCTGTCACATATAAATCAACAACTGTAAGCACAAAGCTTAGTGATTTCCCCAAGATACCACATACAACACAACATAAAATAAACAGCTATGGGTTATCAGCAACCCTGGGGACTATCAGCAGTCCTAGTGGGCTAACAGCATGCCCTGTGGGTTATCAGCTAGGGGTGGAATTGGTACGGTACCGATTATTTTTTGCCTAAACCATGTACCGTACCAATTGTAGTTGGTATAAATTTTTTGCTACCACTACCGTACCAACTATAGTTGGTACCAACTTGTTTGGCTACCAATAAGCTCGGTTGGTACAAGTTGGTAATGGTATATATCAAGATGTATGAGAAATTTGTAAATAACGATTTACATGTTCTTGAACATTGTGAAATGTGAATGAGGTTTTGTGAATTCGAGTTTGGTAATGGTTGGGATTCAAAAGTCGATCCAAAAAGATTTTATTAATGTCTACCATGAGTTTATAATTTCAAATACCAGAGGAAAATTGGACACGCTATCATTAGTTTAAAACTTTAAGCTTTACTAATACATTGAATGCTAATATAATATTAAACACCAAACATATTAAAACTTTAAATATGCAATATATATATATATATATATATATATATATATATATATATATATATATTGAATTGGTTGGTTGGTATTATCGTGGTATTGAAAATTTTGTACCACTACCGTACCATGATTCCTCAATTGGTATGGTACTACCAACCAAACATGTTGGCTACCAAACATATTGGTTACCAACATTTTTGGTTTGGTTGGTAACATGTTGGTTGGTTTTCCGTGGTACATATTTGACAGCCCTATTATTAGCAACCCTGGAGACTATCTACAGTCCCAATCACATATACACAGCATAACATAATCATAACATCTAGACCCAGCTGGTCAGTACAAATACAGCTATTCTACCATACAGGTAAGAATAAATGAGGAGACTCACCTGATATTGACGACAAATAAATCTCACACCCGAACTGCCGGATCTAGACTCTGCCTAATCAACAAAATAATTAACCTTAACTAATAATAAAGGTCCAAAGCCCACTTGTGAGTCCAAATCCCACAACTAAATCTCCTAAGGGGAAAAAATACTATTTTTCCCTTCTCATGGTCCAAAACCCCAAATCTTGACCAAAGGTCAAAAGTCAACTGCCCAGCGAGTACGCTGGGCGTACCACTTCTTACGCGGGGCGTACAACGAAATCAGCATCCATCGGGGGCATAACCGGCTACATGGGGCGTAGCCAGGAGTACGCCCGGCGTACTCCGTCTGCCTCTACTTCCACCAACTTAGTGTCTTAATCACTTAAGACAACTAGCCCAACCTTAGATCTGACTATTCTAAGATGTCTTAAACCATAAAGTCGTTGGCTTTAAGCCTTTTCATGGCTAGGAAGGACCCAATGCAATAACTTTAACTTGTAACACACTCTAAGCTACTATACTCATGCATGAACCAAAAGGAATAATCAAGCAACCATTTTTATGAATCCATAGGTCCTAAAATGCATGAAAGGACGACTACAATTTCCTGGAGTGCTCCAAACTCATAAAGGTCCAATCTTGGGGACAAAAGTTCATAAAACTTCAACCATGAAGATCTAATGAAAAGCTTGCCAAGGTATAGACTTTGTACCTGAAAATGATGCACAAAGAGGAAAGGTTTTTGGATCTTCAAGCTTGCTAGCACCCACTCCTTCTTCTCTAGTCTCATTCTTCCACTACAAGCACCAAGAACACTCAAAAACTTGCAAAAGCTCACACAAGCAAGACAACTCAGGATTAGGGTTTTAGGCAGGGTTTGGTGGATGATAAGGATGATCAAATGAAGACATAATGTTCTTTAAATAGGGGCAACCCTTAAGATTAGGGTTTGAAGTCTGGGCTAGTACGTCTGACGCACCACATGTATGCCTAGCGTACTATTTGGTCATCCGTGTTCCAAACTGCATAAGTATGTTGCGCGTAC